GGCATTGAAAACCACCTTCATGTGACACCTCCTTATAGGAGCTGAGAGGATGTTTTCTAATAAACATGACCAGCCAGAACGAGAAATTGCTGCCAACAAGATGGTGGAAAGATCACTCTATAGAGGAGCTCAGAGTTACCAAACCCCACTGATGTCTATTCGGTCCCTCTCAAAATAAACAGGAGGGAGAACAACGGGGGAGGGGGAAGCAACTCAAAGCTAAAGGAAACTATGCAGGAAGAAGACCTTTAAAAGCATGGTTAAGATCCTTAGAGAGAAAGGATTAGATACTGCTTTCATGGAACTAGAAGAGACAGAGGAGAAGGAGAGAGAGAAGAGAGAGGCAGAAACTGACTCAGAAAACAAAGAACTCTTTATATTAAAATTGTGATAGCAGATAAAAGGGCTGGTAGATAAAAATTTGAGGAAATCTCCCAAAGGGTAGAACAAAAGTGAAGAGAGGTAGCAGAAAGAAGAGAAAAATGTAAGGAAGTTGGAAGGCCAGTCTAGGAAGTCAAACATCCAAATACTAGCACTGCTGAAAGACACAACCAAGAAACAGAAGAGGGAAAATTAACAAAATAATTCTGGAACATTGCCCAGAAGTAAAGTTGTGTGTTTCCAGATTGAACACTTCACAAGAGCCAGGCACTAAGGTGAAAACAGAGGCTCCCTAAGGTATCATGAAAGTGTAGAACCACAGGCAAGAAGAAAATCTGGCGAGTTTGGAGAGAGAAGAATAGGTCACATTCACTGGGTCAGGGGTCTCAGTGCAATTGTACCTCTCAACCGTAACAAGGAAACAAGAAAACCAGGGAAAGTACCGTCAAATCACTGAAGGAAAATTGCTTTCAAGCTGGATTCTACACCAGCCAAGCATGCACTAAATATGTGTGCAGTGAAGGCATTTCAGATATGTGAGGCCTCAAAAAGTTTGCCTCCTATATCACTCCTTCTCAGGAAGCTATTAGAGGATGTATTCCAACAAAACAAGGGAGTAAACCAAGAAAGAGAATAACTAGAATGAGGAACTCAATGTAGGAGAGAAAGACGTGAAGTAGCATTGGGATGATTCCAAAGGCCAGGTTGACAGACAGGTACCAGAACCCACAGAGAGGTAGAAGGCTCCAGAATAGATTTCCTCGAGAAGATGGAATGGATAGACCACTTGATGTGTCTGAGTATCTCAAGAGGAGACTTGGATAACCAGTGGAAAGTTTGGCTTACACTACTTATACGTACTTAGCAATTCAGACTGCTATAACAAAATACTATAGACCAGGATGTTTATAATAATAGAAATTTATTTCTCAGTTCTGTCAGCTGAGAAGTCCAAGATCAAGGTGCCAGCAGATTCAGTGTCTGGCAAGGGCCTGCTTTTGGTTCACAGATGGCACCTTCTTGTTGTGTCCTCATATGGTGGAAGGGGTGAAGGGTCTTTTTTATGTGGGCACTAATCCCACTCATGAGGGCTCCACTCTCCTGACCCCATCACCTCCCAAAGGCTCCACCTCCTAATATCATCACCTAGGGGACTAGGCTTCAACATACAAATTATGGGGGCCAGAAACATTCAGACCATAGCAGGTCCACCGGAAAGAAAAAAACAGAGCAAACAATCACGTAAGAAAATTCTTAACCAAAAATGCAGGAGAGAAGAGTAATCTCATTTTACTAAATGGCTTGAAGGCTCTGGACAGCTTACAAAGTAGAGGTGGTTAAACTGAGCATCTTTTCAGCCAAGATTGGCATAAGGTACCCTATTGGAAGGAGGGGATTTAAGGAAAACCCAGAGCACTACTAAGTGTGTGAAGTCGGCCTGAGTCGGTCCAGCCCAACAGAGCGTTAGTTCTCCTGATCGGCAAGCCTGTGTCATGGTCTTCCTCCTTGCTCTGGGATGTCTGTGTGTTGGGGTGGCGGGAGGGTGTGTGCGTGTGTTTTCTCTCAGTGGCTGCCCCCCCACAAGCACACGGTGACCAGCATTTCTCGAGTTTTTCTGGGGTTTGCATGAGATCCCTGCAGGACAGCAGTGGCTGGGCCTCCCCTGAAGGAGAGAGGGCGGATGGAGAACTTCAAGGATGGGGGACGGCCAGGCTAGGAAGGAAGGAGCCCAGCCTGCGTCAGGACTCCCGGCTTATGGAGCAGCCTGAGCTTAGATAAAAGATGCCACAGTTACGAGTTCAGTGTACTGATTTCAACACATTTAGTACACAAGATGCCTGCAGAGCAGTGTTTCTCGGATATCAGTGCCTGAAGGGCTCACTGGGGACATCTCCATGGGACGTCAGCCCGGGGCAGGGCCACAGTGCTGCAGGTGTCACAAGCCCCGCCCTGGGGTCCCTGTGCCACCTGCGCAGATGGCCTCTGCTTATCCAGGACCACACTGAGGGCAGGAGGGTTGTACAGATGAAAAGCAATACGTACTGACGGAAAAAAAGGTGTGTGGCTTTAGTGGGACACATAGATGCGCTAAAACATCCACGGTGGCACTGGATGACAGGATTTTTCCCACAACGGTCATGTACTGCTTTTGTAATACACGCGGCATAAGGCACCTGCAGAGACAGCCACGCGCGCGCAGCTCTCTGAGAGAAGGCTGGAAGTACTCTGCCTCACAGCAAGAACGATTACTTGTTAGGGACGTGATAATAAAGAACATGTCTGCAAGTAGCAATATTTTATTTATTTATTTATTTTTGAGACAGAGTCATCTCGCTCTGTTGCCCGGGCTAGACTGCCCTGGCGTCAGCCTAGCTCACCGCAGCCTCAAACTCCTGGGCTCAAGCGATCCTTCTGCCTCAGCCTCCCGAGTAGCTGGGACTACAGGCATGAGCCACCATGCCCGGCTACTTTTTTCTATATATTTTTAGTTGTCCAGCTAATTTCTTTCTATTTTTAGTAGAGATGGGGTCTTACTCTTGCTCAGGCTGGTCTTGAACTCCTGACCTTGAGTGATCCTCCCACCTCAGTCTCCCAGAGTGCTAGAATTACACCGGCGTGAGCCACCATGCCCGGCCATAAGTAGCAATATTTTAAAGGACATATCACTCTCTCACCATGGGGGAGAAAGACTCACAACCTACAGGGCTGGTCTAGCCACGGGCATCCTGGACGCTTCCCTCCTTCCAAGCACCCCAACGCAGATGCTCCAGTCCTCAATCGTCAACATGCTTCTTAGATTCGGTGTGGCACTTACAAGCATATTTACCAGGAGGGACATTTCTCCACCTTTTAAGAAAAGTCTGTGGTCATGCTTCACATACACACACGTACACACACGGTTTGTGGACATTCTACAGGCAAGGTATGTCCACGCACCCTTCAAGCATGTGTGATGAAAAATACCATAGTAAATATGCCGGCCAGGTGAGGTAGCTCACACCTGTAATCCTAGCACTCTGGGAGGCCCAGGAGGGAGAGGATCCTTTGAGCTCAGGAGTTCGGGACCAGCCTGAGCAAGAGCGAGACCCCATCTCTACTAAAAAAAAAAATAGAAAGAAATTAGCTGGACAACTAAAAATATATAGAAAAAATTAGCTGGGCACGGTGGCGAACGCCTGTAGTCCCAGCTACTCGGGAGGCTGAGGCTGAGGCAGGAGGATCGCTTGAGCCCAGGAGTTTGAGGTTGCTGTGTGCTAGGCTGACGCCAGGGCACTCTAGCTCGGGCAACAGAGTGAGACTCTGTCTATAAATAAATAAATAAATAAGCAAGCCATCTCTGGGTTTTGGAAGAAACTGCATTCGCACATAATTTATTCTTGGGGCAAATAGTGATTGAATTAGCTCAAAGACATCTTTAGTCAACCCACAGGGCCGGGACGAGGTTAGGTCTCAGTTTTCAGTGGAGGGAAGTTAACTGACAGAGCAGGGGCTGAGGGAGGGGGAAGGGACTGCTCTGATTAATCAGCAGCTTAAGTCTCAACTAAAACACAAAGCAAAAGTTGCCGCCACATCTTGCGCGGGTTCACTGAGCGCCGCCCTCGGGCTTTTTTATCACTGAAGCACGCAGCTCCACAGACTGCCTCGTTTGGGGAACACTGCTATTCCTGGGGCCTGCTGGGGTCGGCTTTGCTCCAAATTCCCGGCTGAGCGACCCAGCAAGCTGACTAGATCTGCAGTGGGAACTGGGCTGGGGTGGGTACCCACTATTTTCACAATTTCAGTTGACCAGATCCGGGTGATGTTGGAACACAAATGGCCACTCGGCCAGCAGGAGGCCACAGGGGAGGCTATGATTTGAACTTCTGACAACTTTCCTCTACTATTAGCCAAGATCGTGTACGGGTTTCTTATGCACTTGGATGAATTACCATCTTTTAGGGAATGCTGAGGTTTGATCTTGAAGATATGAATATTTATTTCACATTTCATTGCTTTCTAGGATATTGCAATGCTATTAAAAATAAGTATGAGGAAAGCAAACAAAGAGAAGATAATTCTGAGACAACACATAATTAAAAACTACCACCTTTGATAAATAAAACAGTTTACGCGTTGTATTTGCTGCCTAACTCCTTTTCCTCCTATTGGCACTGGGTTTGGAATGAGAAAGAAGGCAAGTAGGGCTGCTCAAGGTGGAAATAGGCTTGTTTATTATTACAAAGCATACAGTCCACAAACTTTATTAATATAGTTATAAAAGCGTATCATTAAAATGAATAGATCACCAGAAAATATATCAATAAATACATCATTTTACCTGAAGAGATCTGTACAAATAAATGTTTTGCGTAGATTTTGGACAGCTCAGTGTGAATACATCAGGGTTCTTCTTAAGCACAGGTGGGTAAAGCTAACCAGAGAATGAAAGAAATAACTATTAATACAAACAAGCTGCAGGATCAAAACGGGGGAGGGGATTATTTCCTAAGCAGCATTGACTTTCTACCACAGCTTCAAGCTTCTACTCTGAAACTGCAAGGAAATAAAGCCGACAGGGGAGGGAAACCCACATGCTCCTCCGTGCAGCACCTGCCCGGCCCTCTGGGATGCCTCCCGCTTCAACCAGAGAAGTTCTGAAAGACGTCGGCCGCCTCCACCCAGTTCCGGAAGCAGGCCAGCCCCCACTCCCGGATCTGCTTGCGCCCTTTGTTGGTGATGACCTCCCCATTTTGTTTCACAATCACAAGCTTGGGGATGGCCGTGATGTTGTACCTCTTCCTCAGCTCTCTGCGGCAGAGAAGAGGGGTACCAAAGGGTTAGCACCTCCGCCCCCACCGCGTGGGTACAGTCACCAGCGTACCGGGAGCCGCCCTGAGCCCTCGCCCACCCTCACGCTCCTCTCCTGCCAGGCTGGTGGGCTCCTTTCCCTCTGGGTGCTGTCCTTTCTAAGCCGGTGCTGCCCCAGAGAACGGCCTGCAGCCATGCAACTGCTCTGGATCTGAGCGCCCAATCCCGCAGCGCCCAGCCACACGCGGCAAGCGTGCCTAAGGAACCAAAGTTTCCATTTTAATTAAATGAAAATTTAAGTGGCCACAAGTGACTAGTGGTTACCGGATTGGACAGCATAGGTCTAAACCCACAAATAAACCCAATAATTTTTTATATCCTTCTCTACAGCTTAAGAGGCTGGAAAATATCAGGTACATATAACGGCAAAAGTTAAACCTCCCTAAGTTCTAAATAAATCCAAAGCCTTATTTGACTTTCCACCCTACAAATTCAGCGACCCGCTGATTAGCGTTATTATGGATGAAACATTTCTTAGCTACATTGTACCATCATCTGCAACCCCGTGATCGGTCTCTTTACAAAATTATTTCTACTCATTTAGGGAAAGGAGCATCCGCCTTAGGTTTGCAATTCTCCCCATAACCTTCACAGGGATTACCTCCCTGAAAATCCCTGCCCTGTTTCCTCGGTCAAGGGCCCCAGGACGGTAATCTGCTTTCCTGGCTCTGCTGCCCTCAGGGCTGTGAACCCAGGGACAGCAGGAGAAAGGCCCTCAAGACATCTGTCAAGGTCTTCCTGCTGCTCCTGGCACGGCTTCTTGCAAACACGGAAAAATGTGTGGCCCCTGCACTCCAGAAAGAGAATATATTTCATTTCCAACATCCATGAAGCTTTGACAAAACCAATCATGTCTCAGTCACAAAGGAAATCTTAATAAATTTCAAATGATCAATAACACAAAGACCACCTAATCAGACCACAAGGGGACGGAACTAGAGACCAGTAAGAAATCATTTTTACGAACGAGTTTAAAAACCAACCACATGGTGTACGTGAAATAGCAATGCAGAGGACAAAATATTTAAACTAGAACAATACAGAATATACTTCAAATTCCAAGCTGTAAATACAACGAAACACACTTATCCAAAACCCATACACAGATGAGTTATGGATTTAATTCAAAAAGCTAGAAAAAGAATGGTGGAGCAAACACAAAGAAAGTAGAAGGCTAGCAAAACAAGACTGAGAACAGACATCACAGAAACAGGTAATGAACCAGAGAAAATCCACGTGGGGTGAGGATGAAAACCCAACCTCGTTCTCAGGAAAGGCTAAACTACGAACCAAATCTCTGCCGAGAACGAGCAAAGGAAAGAGAGAAGGCAGCAGGCGATCAGGAGTCAAGCAGAGCGGGTCCCACACAGCGCCGGTGTGGACGACCTGGCCGGCTGGCGCTGGCGGGAAGGCACGGTCTTCCCCTGGCACAGGACGGCTGCCAGGACCACCCGTTCCCAGAGAACCAGCGCACAGCTCCCCCTGAGCAGCTCCGGAAGCTGTTTCCCGTGGTGTCCAAGGACTCCCATGAGGGAAAGAAAAAATGGGAGAAAGAAATGGGTAAACCAGTCTATAAAAACCATCACACGAAGTAAAAGGACGCTCACAGTGGAGACTGCGCTGCTGAAACTGTATCTGCAGAACTGACAAACCAAAGCCGGAAACACGGAGCAGACACAAATTGGTGTCAAACTCAGGTTTAGGCGACGCTTACTCCTCCCCAGTCACGAGTGCTCAAGACAGACGAGGAGTGTGAAACTCAGGCCGAGGGACCTCAGCCGGGCCGAGCCCGCGCGGCTCTGGCAACCACAGCGGTGGGCACGGAAGTCGTGGCGGAGGCCATGTCCCCTCTACTGTGTCAAGACTCCTGCACAGCATCTGAAATTTGAAATGCCTAAGAAATTCACTTTTCCCAGTGGCACAGAACAAAAATGTGGAAAAAAAGACAAACAACCCAAGTAGCCCTTTGCATAAAGACTGCACCCAAACGGCCGGCAGTGTAACTAAGCTCTTTATCTGGTCGTTTCGGCAAATCAGTTATTTCAGCCCTTGTGCTTTGGGCAGCGGGACAGCATGAGACAGAGCACACCACGTTTCAGAAAGGGAAGCCTGGCAGGGCCTGGCAGGGCTCTGTCATCCCAGGGACGTGGGACCTCATGCCCAAGGCCGTGCAGAGTCCCTGGAGGGCTGATGGTGGGCATGAGGGCGTCGGGGTGACAGCAGCGCAGCAGCGCCTCAGCCACAGATTCCTGAGCCACGCGGGTTGGCTCAGCATCTGCCCTCCCGGCAGCTCCCTGGGAGGTGCTGGTCCCCGCACCAGCCTCTGCTCAGCACTGTCTGAGCGACGGTGCTTCTCAACACGGGGGCCCGGGACCAGCAGCTTCAGCGTCGCCTGGGAACTCGTCAGAAATGTGTCTCCCCACCCTGACCGGGGGTGCAGCCTGTGACCCTGTGCATGATGCTCAAGTTTGCCGGCCCTGCTGGCGTCTCCCAGGGCTTCCTGCAGCCCCTGCACTGACTGGGAGAGGCTGAGCACGTGCCCCCACTGCGGGAGCAGCACGGGCCGCGGTTGGCCGCCAGCATCCAGCCTGTCCTGCAGAAACCATGTCTCTCCCATTTTCCCGCATGGATCAGCCAGGTGAGCGAGCTCATCTCCTGTCCCTAGACTCTTCATCGGCACCACACGAGTAATAAAATCCACCTCCTGGGGTTGTCGTGAGGAGTAAATGATTAGTACATGAACAACTTAACAAAAGAGGGAGCTTGGCACATAATAAGTACTCAATAAACACTGGCTCTTCTTATCGTGTGGGAAGGACCCACCTTCCATTCCAGCTGGGTCTACTGCTCAGTCCGCATATCTCTTGGCCCTTGGCTACCCTAACTAGTACAGAAATGGGTGACTAGCAGACTCAGAACCAGTGGGGCTCCATAAGCACTTCCCTGTGTGCTAGAAAAGAGGAGGTGCGGGGACGTGCAGTCCAAGACATAGCAGCCATTCTGCCACCACGAGAAGGGACTGGATTTGCCGGGCAGCCACTGCCTGCAGCCCAAGACTGAGGCACAAGTGGCAGAAGGCAAGCCACAAAATACGTCCTCAGTCTCCCTGGAGACCAGCTCCTGGCTGCTGGGTGTTTCATTTAAGCCAGCCTATAACTTTCCTTGTTCAATCTCTGAGTTGCTGCTGCTGCTGCTGTTGTTGCTTTAATCCCTTGCAACATTAAATGAAGCTCTGACACAGCCAGGGAGTGTGCTGCAAGCTGGGCATTGAGAACTAAAAAGAGGCTTGTGGTGGCCACGCTGATCTTCAAAGAGACACCCAGCATCAGCCCTCAATCCCCACTTGGCAGCCTCTGCCTGGGGACACATGTAACCTTGGAACAGCACAGGAGAGGTAGATAGCCACCCTCCTCCCCTGAAGTCATCTTGATCCCCTCTGGGCACTGAGCTGTGTCCGCGGAGAAGAGAATATGCTTTGGAGGAAAGAGCATTGTCAGAAGCATTTTAACCATTTTGGGAAAATTCAAGAGCCCAGTTCCTCCTTGTCCTCACAAGCACCGTAGCGACTGACGTTAGTCCCCACCTTCTCTAACCCAGCCGCATCCTTGTCCCTGGCATAACTGCGCTCCTGGGTTGCTATGGCAACCCCTGACTCCAGTCTCTTTCCATCTCAGGCAGCCGCAGACTGCTGCCAAGCAAATCGCTCTAAAGCACTGTCTCTTGCTCACTTGCTCCAACCACCCACCAAACATGCTCCCTGTGGTGCCAAGCACTGAACAACCATACCTGGCTCCTCCTGTGGACAAGGGAACCCAGGAAAGCCCTGGAGGGTTGGAGCAAGGCGTGGCCAGCCCAAATCAGTCTTTGAAGAAACAGCCGATTAGATACAGATGCTAAGGCCCTGGAGAGCAGTTAGGAGAATATTCTAACAGCCCAGCGCCTGAGTGGAGAAGTAGCAATGAGTAAAAAAACAGAGAAGGATCTGGGAGCCACAGAATCAGTGAATTCAGGGATGTGTTGAATCCAAAGGGCGTAGGGGGCAGCTAGAGCACTGGGCTAGAGAGAGGCAAGGGGCAGAAAGACAGAGCCAGGAGTCACTGGCCTGAGCACCGACCCTTCCCCACTGAGCCATTCCCTGCCCAAGAAATGAAGTTGTGGCCAACTTTCTTTTCTATCAAATCCAAACTCATTGGCCTAGAAGTTAAGGTGTTCCAGTACCAGCTATGGCAGGGGAGGCAGTGGTCAGAGCCTGGGCATGCAGGAGGAGGGCAGATCCCCTCCAGTCCTCCTTTGGGTCCACTGACATGTCAGCGGCCAAGTGGGGACAGGAGTTGTTATGAGGCAATCATTATAAAATCACACAAAATCACCATTGCTCGTCTCTTGTGAACAGCAGCATGCAACAGGAATTCCTGCTGGTGAACTCAGAACTTGTTACTTCACTCTTGGACAATGAGTTTTACCCGTAAACTCAGTAACAAAGGGAGGGGAGGCAAGGCAGGATGGAACCTCATCTTGAAAAAATACCGCCAGGGAGTGCTGGCGTCTGTCCCCACATTAAGGCCAGAGAAGGCTCGGCCCCTTCTTTCAGCCCACCTGCACTTGGGCACCTGGGCAAGGAAGTGACAACCCCAGCCAAATACCCGCATCTCCAATTTCAGGGATGTCAGTAAGCAGTTGCCTCTCTGGGGACTGAAAGTGGCACTGTGTTGTGTGTTTGGGAGCAGGTAGACGCCAGAAAAGCTGCTATCTACGCAACTCTGAGGGCAACTCTGAGGACAAGGCGAGGGTCTGGGCATCTTCTCCCTGCAGGGGCGTGTACAGCCCGCCTCTGCCTCCAGCCGTGCCAAGGGTGCTTCGCAGCGATGTCTTTGGAAGCACCTGCTTTCCTTCTCCTCCCTCAACTCGGGTGGATGACCAGGAAGTCAGCGGAGAGGGAGTGATGAGCTGAAGCCCCCAAGGGAAGGCAGCATGGGGTCATTTCACCCCGCACCTATCCAGGGGCGCTCCCGAAACGTCACCGTCCTGAGCTCCCCGTCCACACACCAGCCGCCCAGCATCGTGTTCTGTGCACATTAGCAACTTCCCAAGTGCCTTGGGATGCTCTGCACACTTTTTCTTTCCTCGTGGCAGTGGCTATTTCCATTCTGCTCATGATCCTATTCCATAAATCCCGGCTGGGACAAGGGGAACTTGGGGTGTGGCTCCAACAATTCCCACAGAATATTCCCTGTCCCGGCTTACACGTGGCAACGACGAGTTCACGACGTTCAGTCTGGAAAGGGGTGGGGACAAATAGCTACATTCACAAAATGCAAGTCCCCTCTGAGGACAAAGAGCAGGCGAAGCCCAGGCCAGCCAGGCTGAGAGGACCGGAGCGCACGGCCGCCTGTGCCGGAGCTGCTCTCCTCATCCCGCTGGAGCGCACAGACTCAGACCGGATCAGCAGGGAGACAGGAGGGAGTCCTGCATGGCCTTCCCAAGTGAGTCTGTGCTGCAGGGGGCCGAGGCCTATAGCCCCTCGGAGAGGAAGTGCCCAGGGCGGAAAGGTGGCCCCAGACCCAGGAGCGCTCGACTCTGCGCCTCCACGGCACAGCCGCTAAACGAGCACTAGACCAGAGTGCAGACCGTCACCAGTGGACACACAGCCCTGTCAGGTATCAGGTCAACCCTGACAGTAACCACGTGATGTACCATTGCTCAACAATAAAATACCTTGCCTACCATCACCCGGTGGGTAAATCCCAGGTCTGTGCCCACTCACTAACTCATCAGGAATCAAAACTGTGTTCTCTCAAAAGCTACCCATAACTTGAGTGCTAAGCACTTGAAGTGATTCTGAGAATCCTTTGCAAAGTAAATCGCCTGTCACTTAGACTTACCACCAAGACTTTCACAGTCCTGGTGCGGTGAGGCCTCCAGGAAGCAGGCCACCCACCTGAGGGCTGAGGCTTCCTGCCTGGGCTCCCCTCTCACTCACGACCACCTAAATCATGTGTTAGGGAGAATAATCAGAACTCTTCCAGTTAATTGCTCTTCCACAGAACTTACAGGGTTAACTTCCACTTTTCATTTGCCAGAAGGAATGTCATCTCATGACAACTAATTGGAGGGGTAAAGCCACAACTGCATGATAATCCCCAGAGAAATGTGAGGCTGGCCTCTGCACAGAAACTCACCTGGGCACCTCTTCAGGGGTGGGCTGGGACGATGCACCTTTCTGAGGTGTGATTTAAACCCCTTTCTGAGGTGTGATTTAAACTGAAGTCTGGACTCTTACACCACAGGAGACCCTGACACCCAGAGCAACAAGTCCCCTGCCAGACTCCCCTGTGCCAATCCCTGCCCCTCCCTGCTTCCTCTAGTTCACTAGCAAAGTCTGACATTCCAACACAGAGCTGACGATTTCCACCTGGACACCTCTTTTCTAAAGCAAGGGTGGGGTCAAAGGTCCCTTCAGAGAGACTTTTGTTACCTCTGACATCTGCCTCCTCCTAGTTCTTCCTACATGTACAGTAACGAAATTTATAGTAATGAGTTTTATACCTTACAGTTATAAAATTCCATCACTGCCAGTAAAAATGAAACCCCAAAGGAGGCCAGCACCCGGGTTCCTTGGCCGGGGAGCCCTCGGCCCCTCCCTCCCAGCACAGCCTCCACCGCCTGCACTGCTGGTGCCTGCCACACTGCTGACGGCCTCCTGGGTCACCCCTGCCCGTCCGCTCCCAGACACCCAGACACCGACACCGAGCGGGGGTCATCCCCGGGACCGCCGCCTACTAAGCGGGAGGAGGATTCAGCGTTGTGGGCCCTGAGCCACCCGGGGCAGTGGTTCTCGGACAGCGGCCCGCAGACCCACGGCATCAGCACCACCCGGGCTCCTGGGAAATGCAGATCCCCGCGGCCCCAGACCTGCGCAGTCAGAAAGTCCCCCAGCCCGTGGCGGTGCTCATGCTCTGGTTTTGCGAACCTCGCCTGGAGCCCTCCGTGTCCTGAAAGGAAGTTGGAACAAGGCCGTGACTAACCTGCCGAGACCTGAACGGGAAGGCGGGGACGGGGAACGGGATCTGCAAGAGCTCGCGAGGGCGCAGGAGACGGCCTGGGGCAACCCGGGGGCGACGCCGGCGGCCCCTGCCCCGCAGCACCCGCACTCACTGCCGGTAGGGGTCGTGGAAGGGCAGCGCCAGCCAGGCGCCGTGCAGCTCGCGCATGAAGGCCAGCATCTCCTCGGCGCTGCCGTCGGCCGACACGAAGACCACCTCGAAGGGCGCGGGCCGCCGCGCCTCGCCCACCAGCGCCGTGTAGAAGTCACGGAGCAGCGGCGTGAAGTCGCGGCTGGGCGCGCACCGGCCGGCGGCGAAGTACAGCGCCACCACCTTGTTCTGCAGCGCCGCCTCTGCCTCCACCGCCGCACCCTCACGGGTCACCAGGCGCCGCCCGCCCAGCACGTCCACCATGGCGAAGTCGCACGGTCCCCTGAGGCCCGAGGACGCCTGCGGGAGGATGATCACCTGCGGGCGGGCGCTGCGGGGCCCGGCGTCTGTCTCCACCGACGCGCAAGACCTGCCCCAGCTGCGCCCCGACCTGGGGCCCCGCTCGGACCTCGGCCCGGGGCGCGCCTGTGGCTGCAGCAGGGCAGTCGCACTGGGAGAGGGACTCTCACAGACACCGCGACCCCAGATGCTGAGGCCGTGGCTACGGCGCGGCGCCCGCCCCCAGAAACCTAGCCAGCCAGGCCACCAGGCGCCCTGCCGCCCCCACGCCCTCCTCCCGCTGCGCCCCGGGCACACTCCGCGTCCTTCCACTTCCCTGCCGCGCCGGCCCAGAGCGCTCTAGCCAGAGCCCCCGTCCACCGCCCTCCCCGCAGCAGCGCGCCCGGCCCGCCCCACTCACCGCCTCCGGAGCTCCCCGCGAACCACGCTCTTCCCTCTGCTCTACTCCCCTCCCTCCTCGCTCTCCCTCTCTGCGCCCCTCGCCGCCCCCCCCGCAGCCCCGCCCCGGCACCTCCTGACCCTCCTGGTGCTCCCGCCCGGCCTGCGCTCCCCGCCCCGCTGCAGGTGTCCCGCCGCCGACTTCCCAGTGCTTTAGAAGCCTGCCTTGGAGCTCTCGCCGCAGCCCAGCACCCTGGAAGGGAGACTGGCGAGGGCGGAGCGACGGGGGAAGAGGAGGAGTCGTTGGGCCTGGGGCGGGCCTGGGCGGCGTGGTGGGGAACCAGGGCTATGTGCTTTCTGGGCGTTTGCCCCTGACATCCTGTGTCCTGGCTGGGAGGGTTCCTGGAGTTCTGGAAGAAACCGGGGCGGTTCTTAAGGAATGTTTTATTTGGAGAACAAGAGTATTAATGATGTTGCAAGCACGGTTGTAGGCCCTAGGAATTCAGCGGGGAGCAGAACGATTGCAGCTGCCTGCCAGGCCCGGGATAGCATGAGGAGCTGTGCACTGGTGTGAGGGCAAATAAAAGATGCGACAAAAATAATACTAAAATAAAATAACCAGTAATCAAGGTAATTAATGTTTTAATGCAACATTTTAAAGATTCTAAATTAATGCAAAAAAGTTCATGATGAACAAATTATCAAAAACTTAGAGACAGTGAGGGAAACCAAAATATGCCACCCAGAAGTAGGCCACTTTGGTGTACTGAATTATTTTGAGCAGATGGCACTAAGCACTTGAGAAACAGCAAATGCCGGGAGAGGAATTCTCTGCATTCTCTTTACCTGCCTAAAGACAGATCCTCCAAAAGGAGCTCAATTGTTACAGATTGTTGTAAATGGCTTTTGGGGAGTTTCGTCAACAAGCAAAATAGACTTGTTGTCACAGGAGAAGAGACACCACACCCAGGCTTTGTCACAAACTCTCATATCTCCCATCTATTCCTTTAAAGGCCCATTAATCTTTCCTAAAAATTATTTACTCTCCCCTAAGTGACCTGTATCCCCCTCCATTTGCCCTATTAAGACTGAGTATCTCAAATATCACTGGTTTGGGGAATATTCACTTTTTTTTGTTCCCATGATGCCCCCATGCAGGTAATATTAAAAATTGATAAATTTGTATACCCTTTGTCCGGGAATTCTGCCTGTTGTTAGTTGAATTTCATGGACTCAGCAATGGAACCTGGGAGGGTAGAAGGAAGGTCTTTCCTCCCCTAAGACAGCGTGGATTTCACCCTGACTTTGGGCACCGTGCTCACCTCCCCAAATTCTGCCCCTGCACCCTGCCTGGAGCTTACGTCCCAGCGGGCACAACAAAAAATAAAGTAAATGAGGAAGGCATTTTGTACACGCTGTGCGGAGAGAAGAGCCACGGGGAGGGGCGCACTTGTAACTGAGTGGTCAGGGAAGTCGGGGCAGGTGAGATCTGAGCTTCCTGAGGAGCCGCTTGCTCTCGCAGGCTCCCTCCTGTCTCCCGGTCACACGAAAGGGAAAGAGGCAGACGTTCCCCGCTGGCCCCGCGCCGGGTGGGCTGTGTGCGTGTGCTTGGCCAGCCAGAGCTAAGCGCGAGCCTGACGGAGGGCTGATTGATGCTGTCGTGTCAGGTAGGCTGCTAGAGCTGCGATTCACTGTCCCCTTGGAACACTGGGGAAATGGATAGACAAATCCGAGAAAAAATTGAAAGGAGCTGTAAGCAGCATAAATCTTGCATGTGAAGGCCCCAGACTTTTGTTAAAACTCGGAAATCAGAGGAATGAAATGCTAAACTCTAAATATCATCCAGACTGTATTTTGATCTGTTTGGCTTTTTAATCTTTGAACACAACAGTGAGGGAAAATTGATAGCATTCCTAATTAGTTGACAATGCCACCCACTGAGAAAACTCCCAAACATTTGTATAAACACTACTGTGGGAGGGGTGAGGGCCCATTCCTGGGGAGAGCAGCCCAGCTAGGGGCTACCCTGGAACAGAGAGAGGAGGGGGAGGTGTGATCCTGGGGGACAGAGTCAGCCGACCCCCCAGCCTCCCCAGGGTGTTCTCCTTGGACCGCTGCTTTGAGCATCTGTGTACAAGCCAGGAAGGGACTCAGACTCGTTCAGGGAGACTGAAGACCGCTCAGCCTGATTGGCTCAGCTTCACTTCTAAAGGGGATTCTCAAGGGTCGTTGCTGACCCTTCCGGGGCAACCAGTCTTCGAAGGGACTTTCCCAAGGCCATCCCTGTCGCAGGAAGCCACCCCCTGACCTCTCCGTAAGGTGGGAGTGGGCCAAGGGTGCCATGGGGTGCAGAACAAAGCCCAGCACTCTGTTCTGCTTCTGCTGGAGCCAAGTTCTCCTTCAGGTTTCCCTCCAAGGGAGCACACACAGAAACACCCACAAATGGAGTCCCAAAAACAGGATTAGGTGTCCCCTACTCCCTAGCTGGGATATGCAAAGTCGCTTTCATACCAAATTTCTTTCCAGGGCATCTAAAGATGACCTGAGCATGGGCATCTGAAAGCAGGTTTACGTGCCCTGGACAATCACAGGGAAATTAGGCAACGAGTCCTACTCCGGATGCTGGTCTGAGAAATCCCAGTGAAGGTCCCCTCAGGCTTGGCCTCCCTCTCTGGGCCCCTCTCCCCTCATCCCTGCCACCACTTTAAAAATATTTTCTAACCCATCACACATTCCCCTCCCTAACTTAAGGGCAATCTTTTCTGCATTTCCCCCCGTCTGAGAGTAGTTACGACAAGGACTCCATCCTCGAGCAGACTTTGGACAGTCTCCTCCAACCCTCTTCTCAACTAGGCGCCATCCCGGGCCCGTGATCGGCCTGCCTAAACCAATCGTAGCAAAGAACGCTGCTAAGCCATCCCTCCCTTGGTGTCTGCTCCCCTCGGCCTGCCTTCAGCAAGCATCCTGTTAAGTGGGTTTAGTGGGAAGCCCCCCACCCTTGGTGTGCCCTGCAGTGATTTTCCACTCTTCGACCTCCCACCCCCACCCCGCTCCTCGGCTGCAAATCCCCACTTGTATCCGCAGCTCCTTCCCCCACTGCAGAGGCACTGAACGAAGTCTGTCCGGACTGCCTTTGACTAGCGCCAGCTCTCTATCTCCATGACAGTTACCAAAGGCTGTGTTGCCATGGTTGGCCTATAGCTGTGACACAGACTGAAGGTAGAACGTCTCAGAGCTAACGCTGGTTGGCTGGGCGCGCAGGGCCTTCTAAGACACTCCAGGAAGAACCACTACCACGTGATCATGGCTCTGCCCCCGCTCCCCGCTCGGCAGCAAGCCTCCCTGACCGGCCTTTCTCCTTAGAGAGAATGTCCCCTGCGGGAGGAGATTTGATGAGTTGTTGGGCAAGTTCACCGCTTCTCAGTTCTCCTCTTTGTCAACACACTTTGAATTGCTTCTCCACGGCAAAAGAGGAGCACGTGAAGAAAACGTGACCCATGGCTGCTTGACATGAAATTGACTTCTCTTTTCACTATCGAGATACACATACGATGATTATGATGATGCATTTACTTCTAGCACCACTTACGAATATACAAATATAATTATGAAAATGTTTTTGCTCTGATCAGCATAGCAAGCAATTTAGACAACCCAGCGTGCAAATGCAACACTCTAAATTTCCTGGTTTTATGTATCCAGGGGCCACGATGCCTTCTCCCTAGAGGGAGCATGACGGCCTTGGCGGACCAGGGCTCTGCCTGGTCACAGATGCCGTGTTTCTTCATCAGGTGACTTGTCCAGGTTTGAATCCACTAGGAATTCATCTCATATTGCAGCCAATGGATTCAGTGTATCGTTTCTACATTGGAACATCTCTCTGTAGCTCCCACCCAGGGCCAGCCACATAATTTGAGAGGCCCAGTGCAAACTGAAAATGCAGGGCCCCTTGTTCAACAAGCAGGGAAAACCAAATGGGCCAAAAAAGGTACTAAAATACCAAAGCTTCCCCCTTTCTTCCACAATCTCTCTCGGCCTGTCATGGTATTTTTTTTTTTTATTGAGACAGAGTCTCACTCTGTTGCCCTGGCTAGAGTGCCGTGGCGTCAGTGTAGCTCACAGCAGCCTCAAACTCCTGGGCTCAACCGATCCTCCTGCCTCAGCCTCCTGAGTAGCTGGGACTACAGGCATGTGCCACCATGCCTGGCTAATTTTTTCTATATATTTTTAGTTGTCCAATTAATTTCTTTCTAATTTTAGTAGAGACGGGGTCTCGCTCTTGCTCAGGCTGGTCTCGAACTCCTGAGCTCAAACAATCCGCCCGCCTCGGCCTCCCAGAGTGCTAGGATTACAGGCGTGAGCCACCACGCCCGGCCTACACAGGGCTTTTGTTTTTGGTATTTTGGTTTAGTGGTTTTGTTTTTGTGTTAGCATTTCTCCAGCAGCATCCAAAGACCTACAGTCACCAACACTTTATCACACTTCCTGAAAGTAACTCACCACACCGACCACTTCTAACGAAGACGGCAGCAAGCCACCAAGCACGCAGGGGGCCTGCGGCTTCAGAACAAAACCCTCGACGCAGG